GAGAGAGAGAGAGAGAGAGAGAGAGAGAGAGGGGGGGGAGAGGGGAGAGGAGGCTAGCATGAATTAACATGGTGCGTCGTGGCAGCGCTGTATGACCACCCGTTAGACTGACACCGACTTAAGACCGTCACCGGCCTCGCTAGCGTGGCCGGCGGACGTGGGACCAGTCCAGCGCTACTGACGCGACAACCCTGCTTGAGACAGCGAAATCGAGGGCGGTTGCTCGTTTACTCTCGCTTTTGCTCTACTCACACTCACTCACACTCACACTCACTCTCTCTCATCAGTTCATTGACTCGCTGTTCCACACACCGCGAACGACCGATTTCTCGTCGAGTGGGGGAGCGATTTTCCCTCTAAACCGATCGCACGTTCGCAAATGTCGGCTGCGTGTGCATTTGCGCGCGTAAAAGTGTGTCAATAGGCTACTGTGTAGCGCGTAGCCGCGTGAGTGTGTCGGGTGGGGGAGGGGGTGGGGTGGGGTGTGACGTTGGTGAGTTTTGTTCTGTTCGCTATCACTCATGATCACACATCTCTCTTTCGCTTTCTTTCTCTCTTGCTTAATTTTCTTTCTCTCGCTGTCGCTCTCTCTCTCTCTCGCTGTGTTTCTCTTTCTCTTCTTTTTCTCTCTNGAATAGCCAGTCTTAGTCACTCAGCTCAGCATCTGGCAAGCTCCGCAGCAGCCGGGATGCTTGCTTGCTGCGGCGAGACAACGTCGATCTTTTTGCGTCGCACGGGGGGGGGGCGGGGCGGCGGGGGGAGGGGGAGGATTCTCGTCTGCTTCCACACACTGCTGCCAGACGCGAGAACGCGGTGCGAGACGTTAGGGAGGAAAATGCGGGAGAAAATGATAAAAAGAGCAAGTGTTTACGTTTCCCCTTTACGCTTTGTATTTCGGGTGGTTTGTATTTTGTCGCCGGCATCGTAAAAGGATGAAGCGTAAAATGTTGAAATGTTGAAATACTGAACGCGTGCGCGTAAACGGTTTTGCCCTGGTAAGTGGTAACTTCGCAGTTTTGATTTTATCAACACGGAAAGTACAACTCTCCCCAGAGGAGCGATTTGCTAAATATGTATACAGTTTGTAAAAGTGGTGGAGTTGAGAGACCGGACGTGTGCGCTGAATATACGAGTGAGCTTTTTTGTCGGCAGACATTGCGCTTTCTCTCTCTCTCTCNCGCTTTCTTCCCTTCCTCCCCCTATCACTCTCTCCTTCCTCCTCACTTCTCTCTCATCTCTCTCATTCACCTCTTCTCTCATTTACCTCCGTCCTCTTCTCCCCTCTCTCCTTCCCGCTCCTCCATTCCTTCTCTGCGGAAAGCTGCATCACAAATGAGCGATGGCGTGTGCGCCACGCAGGGACATGATAGCACACGCCAGCGCAAACCCTAATGTACATACATATTATTCAACACACACGGCGTTCGGTCATGTGCGTGTGTGCGTGCGTGTGTGCGTGCGTGCGTGCTGTGTGTGCGTGTGTGCGTGCGTGCGTGCGTGTGTGTGTGTGCGCGCGTGCGCGCGTGCGTGCGCGTGTGCGTGCGTGCGTGCGTGTGTGCGTGT